GAGCTTGGGAGTAAGGGCAGTTGCCCTGACAACACTTTCTGTTCCTTCTGCTGTTGTCAACTTCAGTGCTGGGGTGGCAGGCTTCCTGGTAGCACCACCCCTGCACAGTGTACTGAAGAAGACCTCAGAGGGGCCTGAAGAGATGGCGCAGTTAGCAAAGTGCTTATGGACGTGAGGAAAAAGCAAAGAGATGTGTGGTGGCCTGTGCTCGTAATACCTAGTGCTAGGAGGCAGAGACACATGGTCCCCTGGACTCGCTGGCCAACCAGTATAGACCACATGGCCATTTCCTGGTTAGTGAGAAACCCTGTTGCCAAAAACAAGGTGGATGGCACCTGAGGGATGATAATGGAAGTTGTCCTTTGGCATACACTCACATAAATGTGTACCTGCAAGTACATGTACGTTTGTACACAGAAACTAACACACACACACACACACACACACACACACACACACACACACACACACACATTCATACTCATAGACACACAGACACTCACACTCATTCATACACACACATTCCATACACACACACTCACAGTCACACACACACATTCATACTCACACACATTCACACACACACACACACACACACACACACACACACACACACACACGATAAAAGAAAGAGCTCAGGGGATTAAGGAGCATGTCTGATTTCCCACTCTATCCTGCCTCTGCACTGGGCTCAGTGCTTGATGTCCTGGTTCTTAAAGACATTGACAGTGACTTCTTGTGTACTGTATCTTTCATTGCCCAAGGAATAGATTAGTTGATACATGCCAGAGACCTCTGTAGATATCAAGCAGTTCATGCCACCTGGTACCCTGCAGTTTCCCTGTAAGTCCTCTCTTCTTTTGGGAGGTAACAAGTGAAGAGTTTCTCACATTTTCCCATTACCTCTATGTGAAGCCATGTCATTGAGCATTCTCTTGTTATTTTTTTATTGTGCTAAAATAGGCATACCATAAACCTTATCATTTTAACCACTTTGGGTGTGGGTTCTGAACTATTATACATTGTTGTGTAACCACCAGCATCTGCTTCTGGGTCCTTTTCAGTTTCCAGACTCTGTCCCAGTTAAACAGTCACTTCCTGTTCTTCCTTCCTCCACCCCAGTCCACTTTCCATCTCTATGAACGAAGTACTCCAGGGACCTCACAGCAGTGGAAACACATGGTGTCTCCTTTCCACAATGGGGGCTTTCATCTAGCACACGTTTTCAAGGTTCATTTGTATTGGATCATGTGCCAGAGTCTTTTAAGGAATGAATAATGTTGCATTTTATGCATGGCATGTATGTATGGCCACTCACTGGCCAACCAGTATGTGGGCTATACTGGTTGGCCAGTGAGCCTGGGGGACCACCTGTCTCTGCCTCCCCAGCCCTAGGACTACAAGCACATTGTATGTATGTTCCATTTTGTTTGTCTATTTATTTATCACTTGATTTCTTTTGTAAATCTCATGGCTGTTGTGTGTAATGCTGCTATGATTATGGCAAAAAAGTCATCTTTCTTCAAATCTTTCTCTCTCTGTGTCTCTGTCTCTTTCTCTGTCTCTCTCTCTGTGTGTATACTGTACCTATTGTATATGAGAGCATGTATAACGTATATGTCTACATGTGCGTATGTGGGTGTGTGCACTTGCCTGTGGAGGCTAGATGTTGATGTCAGGAGTCCTCTTGGTCTACTCACCACCTTATTGTTTGAGACAGGGCCTCTCACTGAGCCCAGAGCTCACAGATTGGCTAGACTGCCTGGCCAACAGCTCCAGGGATTCATTCACCTGTCCCCCTGCTCCCTGCACTAGGGTTACAGCAGCGTGTGACCATGTCCAGCTTTTTTTTTTTTTTTTGTTTTGTTTTTCGAGACAGGGTTTCTCTGTGCAGCTTTGCGCCTTTCCTGGAACTCACTTGGTAGCCCAGGCTGGCCTCAAACTCACAGAGATCCGCCTGCCTCTGCTTCCCGAGTGCTGGGATTAAAGGCGTGCGCCGCCACCACCCGGCTGCATGTCCAGTTTTTAAATGGGTGCTGGAGATCTGAATTCAAAGTCCTTCAGCTCACATGGCAGGCACCTTAGCTCCCAAGGCATCTCCCCAGCTCCTTTTCTTTTGAGTCTATACCTGAGAGTATAAAGTCCAGGCCGACTTTCATTCATGATTGGACTTCAGTAGCTCTTTCTGGGCCTTTCTCATGTACCTGTCCCATGTCCATCTCTAGGCACCCCAGGAGTGGCTCATGTTGTCAAGCCTGAGCTGCTTCGTTTGTGAAACACCTTGCGGGCGTGTGACCCACGTTTCTGCCCTCCTACAGGACCTTAGATAGATCCTTCCACCCACAGTTAAGAACAAACACAGAGGGCGTGCTGCTGCTGGAGTACCACCCCTGCTCTCAGTCTTCTCCCTAGCCTTCCAACTCGAGCTATAATCTCACATTCTAGCCGTTTTCCAGGAAGAAAATGACACAGAGGTCAAAAGCTCTATTTTCCCTCATGCGAGCTTCATATCTGCAGGTGAAGGTCCCCTTTTAAGTAGACTGTCTCCCCTGCATTGGCCATGGTCTCTTCTTGTCTGTGTGGATTCCCTGGTGGAAATAAAAGAGCTGGTGTATGTGCAGAGCAGGGTAGGGGACAGTGAGCGAGGAGAGGCCTGAGAGTAGCTATTGACCCATCCCTAGCAGGTGCTTGCAGCCCTGAAGGGATTCTCTGTGTTCTGGAGAATGGATTTTGCAAATTGGAAAGATGCCAGGGGGTGGGGGTGTCAACAAACCCCACTGGGTTAGCAGCATTGGGGACTGTTTTATACAGTCTAAAGAATGATCTATGGTAGACATGCTTTTGATTTTGAAAGAGTTTATTATCGATACAGTAGGCGAAAGTAAAGGAATAAGCAGTAAGTAGCAGATAGATGGAAGTGGTGGACAGATAGCAAAACATCTTCAAATTGGCCGCTCAAAAAAAAAAAATGCAGCAAAGATGACTGGAGCAGCCCAGCTGAGGGAGTCAAGAAAAGGTGACACTAAATCAAGGGCTTATAAACACCCAGCAGAAACTGACCGGGGGCGCCTTGTTAGAATTAGCTGGAGTTCCTGATAGGGTCTCCCCTCTGGTGAGTTTTTTTAGTAAAAGAACAAATAGTGTAGAAAGGAGACAATATCTAGTTGGGCATTTACAGTTATTCAGCAGAAGTGATTGGGGAAGCCCTGCTATAACAGTCATGACTAAGTTCCCAGACTGAGAGTTTCCAGGCAGAGCTGAGCTTTCTTTCTGTAGATGAGATTCCATTTTCTCACCATGGGATTAACAGTCACAACCTCCTTGGAAGGAGTTCACCTTCTAGCTGTCCTCAAAGGGACAGTGTTTTTGCTCTTGGGCTGTCTTGTTATTATCTTTCCTCCCTGTCACAGTTAATAGGGGCAGCCTGCCCCAGGAAAAGGGATCTGGAGGACATTTGAGAACGAACATGCTAGAGTCTGGGACAAGAAAGTCCTCCTCACTCCCAGAGTTCACTTTGAACAAGTTTAAACAGCGTATGACAATTTCTTAGTATAATGTGCATTGCAGGGAGTTGAGTGGAAGTCAAAAACGAATGAGTAGACTCTGGTGTAAAATTACCCCTGGTGTGGGAGGCTTGGTCTTTCCCCAGTGAGATTTCTTAGTTTCAACACAGTGCTTTCATGGTGGAGGAGGGATCTGGCATCTGAGTATTCAGGTCTTCTTCACCCTCATTGGGTGACTCTATCCTTGGACAAGAATTGATGAGAAGCACAGGTCATGGACTCTGGGCTTGTTCTGAACTGATATTTTTGGAGGCCAATCCCCTTGATAGTGAGCAGATATCATAGGGACTGTCTGATTCCAAAGATTATTCTGTGAAAATTCTGTTGTGAGACTGTATGTATTTATATTTAATGATGATTGTTTTAAGTGATTCAAGAAACTTCAGGACATAGCCTTCTGAGTAAATAATTCTACTTAGCAATTCTTTATAGATTTGGGCAGAAGGTTCTTGCTGGAACTTCCCATTTGACTGTTTCATTGAATGACTATCTTCTGCCCTTAGGGTCTGTATAATTAAATGCAGACCATGAAAATGGACAGACTTCTTGCTTGAGAGTTTATGTTCTAGTAGGAACATTATCTCAAAGACTCATAGTCCACTGTACCAAGCAAATACAAATTCCTGTCCCCTTTGGTCCTATCTATGCGTAAGAATATCTTTGTTGGTGGCTAAAGGATGTGGGTACTGTTTCTAGGCTAGGAGAATGCTGTTCCAGACTGAGCATGCCATCACTGGGGAGAGATGGGCTTTTAGGGTCCACACATCCTGATTACAGTGTGTTTCTCTCTTCTCAAAGAGATGAGTTTCTATTTGCAGATGGGCTAATCATCCTCACTGTATGGTCCTTGTTTGTTTGTTTGGAAAGGAAGCTGAAGAATGAAAGATTGCCTAGTCCTACCAGTTAGTATCCAAGTGCCAGTACCTCATGTAGTACCAGCTCCCACTGTAATTACATCCTTACCTATTTATGAGAATTAATTCAGTGTTTGGGAGGTATTCTAGGAAATTCTGTGGGTGAGAGAGCCTATAGGGACTTGGAGAATTTTAGTATCTGACTTTCTGGTCTACGTGAACATGCTATGGATACCATTTTTTCTCTGAGGGGGAACCTCTTTAGGGAATGTTCTTGTTGCCTACCACAGGACCCTAACCTGACCATGTTGTATATTAGGGTGCCAAGAGGCACTTCAAAGTAGTCACCCCATGGCAGCCTCCACTGCCCTTATGGTCCTGTGTGGACATCCACCGTCTCTTTGCATTGAGGTACGGTTGTCCACATGTTTTCTTCTAAGGACATTGGGAAGGAGCCCCGCTGGACACAAAATGACAGTAATGCCTGTGGTCATGCTCCTTGTTACTGTGCTGGAATTAGAGGGGCCTTTCTGAAACCAAACCCTCTCACCCTAACCCTTCTTTTCTCCCTCTCTGTTCACAGTGGGGCCTTTTCTGAAGTGGTTTTAGCGGAAGAAAAAGCAACTGGGAAACTCTTCGCAGTGAAGTGCATCCCGAAGAAGGCGCTGAAGGGCAAGGAGAGCAGCATCGAGAATGAGATCGCCGTTCTTAGAAAGTAAGTGCTGGGGAGCAGGCTCTCCTCCGCATCTTGTCTGAGCGTCCTCTGGAGCAAGGATAAGGCCTGGCACGAGGCTGGCTTCACAGGGGTCGGAGAGGTCACCAGCTACTAGCCTGCAGGAAGAAATGGGCCCAGCAGTTGACCTCTGGTACTCATGCAGTGCTCTGAAAATGCTTTCCTGTAGCTCCGGTGTCTTACAGTGTAGGAGTCACTGGAGGGAGTCCTCTCCAAAGGGCACAGTTGTAGGCTGACTTGATTCACCACAGCTGAGTGACACTGGTTGGTTCCAGAGGCCCAGTCTCTCTTATAAAGTAGAACTCAGACCATTCCCATAGAGTAGTGTGCTGAGAATTACAATAACTTTTGCCACTGGTATTGCTTTATTTTTTTATAAGGATGTGAAGCTGGCAAGATAAAGCCCTTGTCCAAACCCCTATGTGTATAGTTTATATGTGGCAGAGCTCAGAATATCAGTCCCTCTTGTGCTGTTTCTACATTTTGTGATTTCTTACCCCCTTTCTCTGCCACCCACAGCACTGGGCACCCCGGAGTTTCCAAAGAGCTTTACTTCTTCATTGAATATTTTCCCTTCTCATGTGTAATAGAACCAAATCAAAATCTCATCCCCTTCAGTACAAGGCCACACGCAAGCCATTCAGATGTGTTCTGACCCCCTCAACTTTCCCCCATACTCAATGGTTTTCTACCTGATCACACTCCTTGTACTGTTGGATTAAATCTTTCCACTGTATTTTTATGAAGTTTGAAGGAACAAACCTTATATGGTACCTGCTTTTGCATGTTTGGCATCTATCTGAAAATTTTTGAGTTGCTATTAATAAAAGATGTTCAGAATATCCTTGAAATTTTTGGGGTTTGGAATCAGTACATAGCAAGAAATCCAATCCAGATAAACAAGTGGAATGGGAACAAGCCTTATCTAGGGACCCAAGAAACCACCCACCGTACATCCTTTCCGCACAATCTTTCACTTCATTCCTTCTGGGGCCTACAGTGACCCATGGAGCGTGCTTTGCCACCCAGCACCGCTGAGGTGGTCATGACAGTCTGTCCTGTCCTGACCTTTGGGCAACTCAGAGAAGAACACAGACTTGGTATCAGTGTTCAGAACAAAATAGTCTCCATGGCTTTTAGTGTAAGGATTTGTTTTCACTCATTTGTTGGGTTGGTTTCTATGTTCTTTGTGTTGTCTATTGGAATTAGAGAGTTCTAGGCTGTGCTGCAGAGGATTGTAGGAAATGGTTCTATAGAGGAGAGTCTGAGAAAGCAAAATATTTGCATCAGACAGGAAAATACTGTGTTAACGAAACATTTATTGAAATGTCCTATTTTCCCATATGAAATCAGTGTTTGAGGAAGAGGTTTGTCACTGGTGACATGAAGTTGTAGATGTGTTACAGACAGTTGACATTTCAGATGGAATTCTCTTTCTAAAGGTTCCACTTTGGACCCAGAGGTTGTCTGGGCTTAGAAATAAAAGAGCCTGGGAATCCATATGCAGTGTTGGAGATCTTTTCCATCCATATGGGCGGTGAGTACAGGTGTAGGCTTTATAAGCTTGTCTTGGTTCATGCCATGAATATTTTGGCTTAATCAGTATCTCCACCCAGTGCCTCAGTAGTAAGTACATCTTTAGACAGGGTATTTAAAACCTGGGAGGACCATGGATTTGGAATGATTTGTTTTGATAGCTTCTCACTATCAGTTGCTGGGAAGCCTAGAGGCATGGACTCTTCTCTCCGGAGTAAAGAACAAAGGAGTGATTTCTCAGGAGATAAGAGTCTGGTTATCGCCTGTGCTAGTTTATTTTGTTAATCTTTTGCAAATGATTTACAAGCAGACTAAGAGGAACTCCACATCACAAACAGCTGAAAGAAAAGTATATGGACTCCAAAGAAAAGAGTTTGGCACCATGTTTAGAAGGCTACCATGGTGATGTTCATTCATCGAAGAAGTATTTATCAAGTTCCCAGCATGCACCATATCTTAGTTAGGGTTTCTATTGCTGTGATGAAACATTGGACCAAAAGCAAGTTGAAGAGGAAAGGGTTTATTTGGCTTACACTTCCAAATTGTAGTCCATCATTGAAGGAAGCCAGGAACTCAAGCAGGGCAGGAACCTGGAGGCAGGAGCTGATGCAGAGGCCTTGGGGGCCGGGGGTGGGGGTGGGGTGCTGCTTACTGACTTATTCCCCATGGCTTGCTCATCCTGCTTTTTTTTTTTTTTAGAACCCAGAAACACCAGCCCAGGTATAGCACCACCCACAATGTGTTGAGCCTACCCCCCATCAATCACTAATTAAGAAAATGCCCTACAGCCAGACACTGTGGAGGCATTTTTGCAGTTGAGATTCTCTTCTTTCAGATAACCCTAGCTTGTGTCAAGTTGACATAAAACTAGCACACACCAAGAGGCAGCACTACTGGTCACGGAGTTCTTGACATCTGAGATCTAGATTTTGCTACTCACCCACAGGATAAAGTTATAGATGATTTGATAACAGCATGTCCAGGGGACCCAGGGATGGGCTTGAGGAGAGGTTGCATGGCAGAGGGGCAGCCACATAAATATATTTTTCCAGAAAGGCAGATAGACATTCCAATCAGAAGGAGTAACTCAAACAGAAGCTAGGAGACACGGGCTGGATATGTAGTCCAGTGGTAGGTTGCTGCACAGGCCCTGGATTTGATTCCTAGCACTATTGAAAGAAACGAAGAGAAAGAAGAGTTGAGAGAGAGAGAGAGAGAGAGAGAGAGAGAGAGAGAGAGAGAGAGAGAGAGAGAGAGAAGGAAGGGTGTAGGAAGAAGTTAGGAGATGGGAGCCAGGGGGTTATTCTGGGGGAACTGGCTCCTTTGATGAGTTAGAGGGTTTGAGGTGAGGCAAATGGAGACCTAAGTTTGGGAAAAGGTAGGATGGGGGGACATGCTCTAAACTCCGCTTTGGATCTTGGGCTCAGGCAGCAGATATGAGGAGTGATCGGGTTATCATGAGAGAAGCTATATGATGAGGATTTATAAGTGTCCTGTGGCAGAACTTGGAAGGACTGATCAGACAGAGCAGGAGCATGGAGAACACATAAGAGGTCATGAGGTGAGTTACGTAGAGAAATGAAGGAACGTGTTAAAACAGGGGCTATGGGCTGTACAGAAGAGATGAATATGAAGGTGCTAATAGAGGTGACTAGGAGGTCAGGATTTGGAAGAGACAGAGAGGTGTTGAGGGACAGATAGGACTGATGATAATGCTGTGATTTCTGACAGGGGTAACTGGGTGACTGATCACCTCGTTAACTGAGATGAATGATCTATGAGCAGGAAGGAAAGGATGAGTTCTGACTTGGGCATGGTGGATTTGGAGGTCTTGGGCCTATCCAAGTATAGATGACCGATTGACTTTCCAGGGCTGGAACTCATTATAATCTAGGCTTTTGTAGAGACTAAACATTTCTGAAACACATACTAAAATAAATCTCGGGGAAGGGTCTGGAGAGATGGGTTAGTGGTTGCAAGCACTGGCTGCTTTTCCAGAGGATGTGTTCAATTCCCATCCTTCACGTGGTGACTCACAATCCTGTGTAACTTCAGTTCCAAGAGGATCCAATGCCCTCTTCTGGTCTCTGCAGGTATGAGGCAGGCGAGTGGTATGCATACATACATGTAGGTAGAATACCTATACACATAAAATAAAGCAATGAAACAATTAAATATTGGATAATCAATTGATGTGCTCTTCCCTGGGGAAGACTATTTCTCTCACCTCTCAGCATTCCTAAGTTGCCAGTAGTTCTTTGTGCGGGGTTGACGCCTCCTGGGTTTCTGCTGTCCTCATTAGGAGGTCCATTGTTATCCTTGTTCAACTCATGTTTAGGCAATTATGTTATGAGACTTGATGGGTGTAGCTTCTGATGTTTCTAGGAGACACACTCTCACAACAAACTCCCTGATCCTCTGGTTCCTATAACCTTTCCACCCCCTCTTATGTTTCCTGAGTCTTTAGGTACCAGAGTTGCAGAGCTGTATTATAGACATACCCCTTGGGACTGGGCTCCACAATTCTGCATTTTGATTGTTTGTGGTTTTCTTTCTTTCTTTCTTTCTTTCTTTCTTTCTTTCTTTCTTTCTTTCTTTCTTTCTTTCTTTCTTTCTTTCTTCCTTCCTTCCTTCCTTCCTTCCTTCCTTCCTTCCTTCCTTCCTTTCTTTCTTTCTTTCTGCTTTGTTTTTTGTTTTATTCGAGACAAGCTTTCTCTGTGTAGTTTTGGTGCCTGTCCTGGATCTCGCTCTGTAGACCAGGCTGGCCTCGAACTCACAGAGATTTCTGTCTGGCTCTGCCTCTGGGATTAAAGGCGTGTGCCTCTGCCGCCCAGCAGTTGTGGTTTTCTATAATGGTCTCTGTCTGTTGCAAACAGAAGTTTTCTTGATGAGGGGTGAAGACTATACTTGTCTGTGGGTGTAAGGATAAACATTTAGAATGTAGTTAGGGATTATGCTGGTTTAGAATAGTGGTAGTGGTAGGTTATCCTCCCAGTCTGTGAGTTCACTAGCTCTGGCTAGTTGGCTAGGTGTCTGGTATCAGACATCATTTCCTTTTTGTTTGAGTGGGCTTTTCAGACCATGTAGAGACCTGTTGGTTACCACCCAGGTATGTATGCCACCACCATATCCTTCCGTTTATCGTGCCATGTTGGTCGTTGTTGTGGTTCATAGGCATCTAGGTTTCAAACCTGGGTAGAACTCTTGGTTGCTTTCCTGAAAACACACATACAAGTAACATTCTAGAGATTGAACAGGATGTACTTATATATTTAGGAGTGTGTGTGTGTGTGTGTGTGTGTGTGTGTGTGTGTGTGTGTGTGTGTGTATCAATAGTTAATGGAAGAAAAGGCTGTGGATTTGAAAAAGAGCAAGGAGGAGTATGAGGGAGGGCTTGAAGGGAGAAAAGGGAAGAAGAAAATGATGTAATTACATTATAATCTCAA